ATATATACACGGAACCTGCATGGCTGTAGACTCTTAAGCTCTCAGCATGACGGTCAGTGCAGCGGCGCGCAAATCTGAAGTTTTATTCACACGCTTATAGTAATTGTTGTGTCTTTTATATAGTGTGTTTTGGAAGGAGGCGGAAAATGACGTGATTAGATGGGGTTTAAGATGTTTGAAGCATTCATTTTCATAATTCTTACACATCATTTTTCCACCCTAAATTGAGAGGCTGCTGCTTTAGGCATTCCATTTGATCTCCTCGAGCCTTTTGGCAGGTTTTACTGGTTTTACACACGGAGTAATACACTAAGTATAGACCAAGTGACACTTGTGGAACAGTGAGAAGAGAGCAACAGTGCTATTTGAAAGGGCCAAATAGCTCATCTCTGATTCACTTAAAGTACTCTTTAGAAATCACAGCACTCGCTGACACGGTGCTGATTCTTCATCTAGGGGCCAGGCTGTGCTTTTTTTCATTACTGCGTTCTTAAATATGTCTGGTGGGGGGGGGGGACTCTTTATTACAGTAACTTCCACAACTCTAAGCTGTATAGTGAAGCAATATGCTGCAACATGCAGTCGAAGCGAGGCTTTTATCAACTCACTTCCCTCTCACTGCAAGTCCTCTGGGCTGGAAAATCTAGTCTCCTTCCTCAAGATGAAGAGGCAGGTGAAGGTTGTGACTGAATGTGTGGGAGGAGGGAATAGCCTGCCGCTGCTCTAACCAGCAGGCCAGTGCCTTGAAGTGGAAATGAGTGAAGAGGAAAAGGTGTGTGTGCGTTAAAGTGTTCGCTTTTGCGCCAACGAGTGCGTGCGTGTGTGTTCGCTGCCTTCGTGTGTGTGTGTGTGTGTGTGTGTGTGTGTGTGTCACTTCGTTACCTCGTGGCAGCGACGGGTCTATTTTATTTTTCCTAAGGGATCACCTGAAGTAGGCTCAAGACTCGGCCTTTGTCTCCCAGTCGGGAGAAAACTAATCCCGCACACAGCTATCAGATATGTTGGATGCACTCTGCTATCCATAAACATGATCTGCTTGGTATTCCTGTCTCGCCCCTTTTTTCTTTGCGTTTTTTTGTCAGCTGTGGCCTCTGATGTGCTCGGTCTAATGTTTGTGTGAGAAACAGCTGCCAAGGGACTCCTCGTCTTTCTTCACAGCCCTCCTCCTCTTCCTCCTCCTCCTCTTCCCTGCCAACAACTTTCATGCCACTCTGTGTGAACCCAGCCGTTTTCCAAACCAACGTAGAATGTTGTACTCTGCAGTGACATTTCTGTGGCATTTCAGCAGGCTCTGTGGGAAAAGCTGGTGATTAGCTGTCAAGAAGTCTGTTATTAGACACATGAGCCTCAATTGTGAACGATTTAATAGTGTCAGCCACACAGAGTATCATTCTTCTTTCAACATTCATTTTGAAGAGGGCACCTCCTTGGTTGTGTTCAGCTGAGAGACTTTAGAAACTTACGGCCTCATTTAAGTGTGCAAACGCATGTTTAAAGACGTCTTTGAAAGCACACGGATGGAAAAGACAGACAGGTAAGGCAGGAGCAGACTTTGATCCGGGATGTGCTTGTCATTATCAAGCCCATGGTGCGTGCTCCACTTTTCATTCCCCCCGTCTTCACCACCTATTTTCAGCCTTTTGATGAGCACAGATGTGTAGACGGTGTGTAGATAGTGTCGACGGAATACCAACTAGATGGCAAGCTTTCATTTCATTGTGTTTTGAGTAAAAGTACACGGGGTGCTCAGGGCAAGTGGATGTGTGCGCCTCTGTGTTAATTCTGTTGTCAAGAGTATCGATCTGTCCTTCACCGCTGAAGTTTCTCTGTATCCTCTATTTCTACGGTAGTTTTTGTGAGTGCAACTTGCAGCCTCAATGAGTTTCCTGCTGACCTGAACTCTCTTCTCTCCGTGGAGCTCGGGCCTTTTCCTGCTTTCTAAAACCTGCTTTCAGTCGTCACAGCTAAAAGCAGGTTACCAGAGTAGTTTATATTAACAGTGGATTAAATGCGCATTTCCAAAAGGGGTTTCCTGTATTGACAAACCAAGAGAACTATCGCCTGACTCGGCAGCTCTCCTCATCTCTACAGAGCAATTCAGCATTTCTCGGCTAATTGTTTTGATTTTCCAGCTTGCAACGTAACCGTGAGGTTCACTCTCACTGTCTTCATCAGGCAGCTGTGAAAAACTTACTGAAAGCTTTCTGCCCAGCAACAAACGACAGATAGACAAAGTTAGCATCTAGCTGGTGAACACAGTGGAACATTTAGGAGAGCAAAACAGAGCCGAATATTAGACTTACATCCGCAAACATGACTCCAAATGAATGCTCATGTTAGATCACGTCTGCTGGACGTGTAAACTAGCTGTTTTCTAACACGTGTGTCAAATCAACTTCATAAGGTGATAATATGTCAATGTTGTGTGGCCGAAGAGTCAATAAATGCAGGTTCAACATGTATTCGAAGCAAATGAGAGGAGAAAATCTGGTTCTCTATTTGTGTCACATTCTCTTTTGTTTCTGTTCATGCTGCAGGTTTGGGAAAAACTAAGAGGAAGACGAGCGCCCGTGATGCTTCCCCAACGCCCAGCTCGGACACGGAGTACCCCTCCAATGGCAGCGGGGGCGGAGGAGGAGGAGGAGGAGGCGCTGCTGAGAGGATCTATGACCTCAACATCCCCGCCGTAGTCAAGTTTGCCTACTCGGGAGAGAGAGAAGACGAGCTGACCCTCGTCAAGGGCTCCAGGGTCATCGTGATGGAGAAGTGCAGTGACGGCTGGTGGCGGGGCAGTCAGACGGGCCGCGTGGGCTGGTTTCCCTCCAATTATGTGCTGGAGGAGCTCGGTGGGGCTGACGACCGAGAGGAAGGAGATTCCTCGCAGGGCTACCAGGGAGGCTCTCTGGGGACTCTGTTGGCCAATGGGCGTGCCGGTGGCCGCGGTGCAGTGCTCCACTTGGTGCAAACACTCTACCCCTTCAGCTCTGTGACAGAGGAGGAGCTGAACTTTGAGAAGGGCGAGGTCATGGAGGTGGTGGAGAAGCCAGAGAACGACCCGGAGTGGTGGAGGTGTAAGAACTCGCATGGCATGGTGGGCCTGGTGCCTAAAAACTATGTGGTGGTGCTGGACGAGCGGCCCGGCCCGCCCTCCTCTGCGCCGAGCCTCCCGCAGAACCGCTCCGTGGCTCCAGCGCGCTCGGGGAAGTTCGCTGGGAGGGACTGGTACTACGGCAACATCACCAGACACCAGGCGGAGTGCACACTCAACGAGAGAGGAGAGGAGGGCGACTTCCTCGTGCGAGACAGCGAGTCATCGGTGAGTCTGTGGGGTGAAGTCATGGCTGGGTTGCATTACGAAGGCTGGGAGCAGCTCAAAAGAGGTAGAAGAGGACATTTAATAGAGTTTAGTAGGAGGAAGAGCTGTGTTGGGAAGTGTAGGTCAGGTCTGGACAGTTTTTGTTACCGCGACAGCAACGCAACTTTGCTAGATGCAGTCAACTTTACATTTGTGTAGTTGAGATCAGAATGAAGAATTGAGTTCGAAGATGGACGTGTTCTGGGCACGAAGGGGCCACTTGTGATGAAAATTGTGATAAAATGACAAAAAGAAACCAGGGAAGACAATCTGCTGCTGGTTCAGTAGATGAAGAATATCAGAGAAGTTTAGAAAGAAGAGGTTTAACATGTTGTATCACAATGACACAACGAGGTTGCATTGTAACAAAATCAATCCAAAATTATAGAAGTAGTTTAATATCCGATCATATGTGCGTTTGGAATTATAGGTTTATAAGAAAAAAAGCAGCAGCTTCCAGTAATATGCAAGACTACCCTTTTTCTGAAGTATACATATTAAATGAAATGGAAAAGTCATTCAAAAATCATGTGACACTATGTGCTTCAGCCATCCACAGTGTACTCTGTCTTAAAGAGTCCCTTTGGAGACAAACAAAAGTTATGTTTACTCAGAAAATAGCTTTATGAAGATGAATAGAAATAGCTTTCTGGCCCAAAACTCAACAGGGAACCTTGAAGAGATTCCTGATGCTATTTTTAACTTATAAATGTCTTTTTAAGTAGCTGATATTTTAAAGTTTTGGAGTAGGAGTAGTGACTGTTATTACTTTTTCGGTTTAAAATGTCACATGTTGCTGTTTGAGAAATGCTGGTCCAGATCTTTAAATGTGAGGCTACACTGCCACCTGCTGGAGTAAAGCAGTCTGTCTTAAAATGTCATTGCGTGTGTTGTTGTTTTTTCTGTCACTCTGTCATATTTCTAACCGCATCAACAACTGTCTCCCTCTTTACTTTCAGCCCAATGATTTCTCTGTGTCTCTGAAGGCGGCCGGTAAGAATAAGCACTTTAAAGTGCAGCACTCGGAGGGAGTGTACTGTATCGGCCAGCGCAAATTCGGCTCCATCGATAAACTAGTGGAGCACTACAAGAAGGCCCCCATCTTCACCAGCGAACATGGCGAGAAGCTGTACCTGGTCAAAGCGCTGTTGTGATTCACACATCCTCACATCTACACTGGATCTCACACACACACACACACACACACACTATACACATATAACTCTAATGCCACCCCCTTAACTGTCTTAACTCAAGCCTTAGCTCTAGAGCCTCTCGCTGTGGCCGTAGGTACTACATCCAGTTCTTCTCTGTCGCCTTCCAGTGGTGATCAGGTGAAAGTCTTTCTAGCTCTCCAGCCGAGCAGTTAACACCAAGATGGCGAGCACCGTGTCAGGAACTACCCAGCTCCATGCATGTCCTTCATGTACGGCACAGTGCGTAGTAATCCTCTCTCTGTCCGCTGGATGTGCTAAACATGTGCAGTGACCACATCTGCTGCTAACAGAACGCCTGAGGCCTTGTTGGGGGGGG